TATACTCGACGAGTTGGGGAATCTACTCGTCGAGTCTCTCTATAATCTTGAGTATAAATAAATAAATAAATATTATACCAGGGAGTTGTGATGTTACATGGCCCATATATGTATGATAGTATGTTTCGGACTAAGGTCTGATACCGGGCGAGTCCCGTTGTAGGTTTATATGTGTTTCTGAGTTACGATTTGATATCATGTTGGTACTCGATAAAAGTTTGTATGCTTGATGTCTTTGTAATTCTTCCATGTGTTTGTATTTTCATGCTTTCCGAACTAAGGTCCGATGCCAGGGGTGGTTCCTGATGAATGGTTGTTTGCTATGCAGATCTCAGTCTGAAGTCGTGTAGGGCCCAAGGAATGTTTATATGTCTATTACTAGTAGATATGCTCATAGGTATGCTGAGCTTTGCTCGATGAAGGGCGAGGTCCGATGATGGATGCAGTTTGATGCCAGGTAGGGCATAATATTAGGCAAGGCCGATGACGGGTGGGGCCCGATGTAGCAAGGCAGGGCCCATGATATGTTATTATGTGATTATGTGATATGTGTATGGTATGTGGTAGTTTAGGGAGACTCACTAAGCTTCATTTTTACATTTTTCGGTTTTGGTTTCAGGTACTTCTAGTAGCAAGGGGAAGAGCTCGAGATGATTGCAGTGCACACACCTTTTGTTTAGTCCGGGATGTTTATACTTTGATGTTTGGACATGTGATTTTGATACAATGTTTTGATATGATGTTTGAGATATTATCACTTATGTTTTTATGAGTTGATTTGGTTTACTATGGTTGTAGTTATAAATTAAAAATGAAATTTTTGGACCGTATTTTTGGGATGTATCACTTTTAAAAATTCAATTAAATCTCTTATATTATAGGGTTATTGTTATTGTAGCCCAACTATCATTCGTATTTTGGTTTAAATGGTCCCTCATGATTATTTTTTGCATTTAAAGGGATTAAAGTTGTATTTCTATAGTTTAAAAGGTCTTTTTTTTTCCAATTTGAAGGGTTCACGCAGTGACACCCATCCTAGTAAGATCTTTGCCAATGCCACGTAATTGCCAGGTAGACTAAAAATGTCAGGTCATTACGTGTTAGTAAAAGAGACCTAATAGACATTTAGAAGCCCTCGACTATCTTTTTCATCCTCTTTTGTCTGCTACCTTTTCACCTATATCCTTTTATTCAACTGTTCCAAGTACAAATCCTTTTCTTAAGATGTTCTTCGGTCAAATCGGCCAAGTTGATCATTGTTATGGCTGTTTACATGAAGATATATCTCCATTTTGTCATAATTTTTACGAGGTACCCTGCTATTAATTACTCAGATGGAGTGTAGAAAAGGTTTGATGATGCCGATTTTGCTAGAGTGGATAAGAACAAATTTGTAGAGTTTCTTAACAGATTCACGAATGAGATATGTGTGATTGTTTACTTTTGCATGCACGATATTCAGTTTCCTAATGGATTAAGGATAATCTCTACCGACATGTACTACATGGAATTAATCAAAGTAAGGTATGCTTCTTATTGTGTAATTCATGTATGCATGGACCATCTTGGTGTTAATGTTCATCAATGGATTCATGAAGAGCAAGCTGAAATTTGTAGTTCTTTAGACGAATTTTCTGGTGTAAATGAAGTTCATGAAGAAGTGAAATGTGGTATGGATATGAATGGTGGAATTGACATGGAGGATTTACAAGGAAATATGGAGGATTTTCAAGGTTATATGGAGGATTTTCAAGATGCTAGGGAGGAATTGCAAGCTTCTAGAGAGGATTTGCAAGGTAAGCAGCATGATAGAATTGACATAGGAGTTGACACTGAACCTGATGTGTGTATTCCTATGAACAAGACAAAATATGATGAATTTCTAAGTAATTTGCGCACAAAGGAGCAAGTCACATCCTACAATCCACCTCGTGAAGATCCATATGATCATTTACAAGAGGATGATGTAATATCTACTGACCAAGCTATTTACAATGAGAATGTTCATTGGAAAAAGTAGAAGCCTATATTAGGTGTGAGATGTGTGAGTCCTAAACAACTGAAACATATGAGGTGTAACTATCTTGTAGCAAATGGTTATAAGTTATGCTACAAAAAAAATGATAGTAAGAGGCGTTTAGTGAAATGTTGTTCTGGGCAGTGCAAGTTTAGAATTTGTGTTTAGTGGATGAGTGAGGAAATGTCTTTCCAAATTAAGATTCTCATAAATGAGCATAAATGTGCAAGAAACTTAAAGTTGGGTTCAATTGTCAACTATTGATGGATAGGTAGCCATTATGCACCATAATTCTTACAGAAACAAAAAAAAAAGAGTGTGAGGCTGCTTAGGGATGAGGTTAAATAGCAATTTGGTATAGATGTGAGTATGTAATAGTGCAGAAGTGAAAATAAGTATGAAATTGAATTAATTGATGGAAAACTAAGTTAGAACTATTCCAAGATGTGGTCATATGTGTTGGATAAGGTGTCTAAGTCCGTAACTATATTTGGTGTCAACTTGACCCGGCCCGACATGGTCCATTTGGGTTGCACTTCAACTAACAACTTGTATGGATATGCTTTTGAGAATAAGATGTTTATGATATATTAATATATTATAAGTTATAATATGTTAATATGGTATCATAATTATTTAATTAGTATTCATTAACAATTAATTTAGAATTAATTTAGTGATCAAAGTGAAGCTAATTAGATATGGACTCTTGTTTATATATATGGATTGGGCTAAGATTTATTTACGATGGGCTAAGAGTATATGGAGTCCATGGATAGTCCATGGAGCTTTTAACCCATGGATCCTAGGTAAATGAAGAGTCATGGGTATTAGGGTTTAACCCTAATCCTCTATACTATATATAGGAGTCCTTGGTTCTAGAATTGGCACTAGTGTGTGAGCATAAGTGTGAGTCGATTTGTATAGTGTTCTTATTCTCTCAAGAGCTTCCAACTTTTTTTGGTGATTTGCGACACCATTTGAGGCATCCACACTATTGGTGCTAGGCTCATAAATTCCAAGCAATCAACCACAAAAGAAAGGTATGTTGTTCTACTTGAAGTTTTGTATTACAAGTACCCCATAAAATGCTAGTTAGGATGTAAACCTTGGAAATCAAAGTTGCATATATTTTAGAGAAAACATTGATCCAAGGTTTCTAGGGTTGCATGTACACCATAAGAGTGTTAGTATGCTCAAAACCCAACAGTGGTATCAGAGCCTAGGCTTGTTTTCTTGATACTTGATGCAAACTTGTTGAAAAAACTCAAAAATCTGTTTATCTGCTACATGAACTCGCCAAGTACATGGAGGGACTTGACAATCCCATGTGATATTTCATCCTACTCGTTGAGTAGGTTCTTTCACTCGACGAGTAGGAGTCCCTGAATGCGGATTTTCGAGTTTTGTTGCTGGAAATGGACTAGAAACATTACCCTAAACTGTTTTGGTGTTTTAAAACTTGTTTTAGATGTTGTAATGTGTATGCTAGTCCATTTACAATGGCTAATATCAAAATTCCATGTTTTATATGTGTTTATATGATTCTTGAAATTTTGATATGAATGGTTATGTTCTTATGAGTTTTTAGAATATCATAGGAATTATGTGTTTTTTGCTTGTAGTATAATTCTTGATCTTACTGTTTAAAGATGGAGTCCATAACTTGTCCTCAAGTTATGGATAACCAAAAGTCACTTCTTTAAAAGTGTCATTAAAGAATAAGAGGTTACATAAAATGAAGAGTCTTCATTTTATTGGACCATTAAAACTCATAAGTTATTAATTGAAGAGTCTTGAATAGTTTCAAAACTTGCCCTCAAGTCTTGGAATTTGTAAAGTCTCATACATTAATACTTTAAATCTAAATAGATCCTTGGAATTTTAAAAGCTTAAAATTTAACCCTTATACTTCTATAATATTAAAATTTTAATTATTTTATATATGTATAAGAATAAGTCGGTCTAAGCGTTAGTAGGCCTCATTCACGAAGCTGGTCTATAAGGGGGTATAAGGTTACTGCCTATAAAATGGCAGTTTAATGGGTGTCCACTCTCACCCATCGCTTTCTTGACTGGTGGAGGGTCGTTAGTCAAACGGGTTGGATAGGACCTAAATCCTCATTAAAAGTATAATGAAATTATAAAGTAACTAAAACTTTATAAATTCGCATTCTTAGTTACTTTATGAAAATGTGAAATAGGTGCTAACCCATGAAATTACACTTTGTACCTTACCAAGTCTTTAGTGTGTATGGTTAACTGACACACTAACAAGGACTAGTAAGAGTGACAAAGGGTGACTTAAGTTTTATCATAAATCGGTGGAGCGCGTGTGGTTAATCGACACATTGATTAGGTGATAAAATTAAGGGTACCAAGTCAATTTGCATGGTTATTCACACCATGTTTGTGATCCTCGGAATCCGAGTCACAAACTTGAGAGGGCACAATCGAGATTCAAACATGCCATTGAAATTTCAATGTATCATAAAGATCTAGGAGTTTCAAATCTAATTAAAACTTAATAGTTCATTTTGTTTTTCATGGTGGAAATTGGTAAATCGTTATTTATCTACCTTCAAATATTGTATAGCTTGGATTACGACATCCCTCTTCTAAGTTATACCTATCCCCGAACCTGATATTTAAATTTGGCCCCAACCCCGATCCGATACCTAAAGTGTTTCTTATCGGGGTGTCCCGTTGGGGCATAAAATTTCCTCAACCCCAGAACCCAATATAGCCTCGAAAACCCAAACCTGAAAATGGAAAAACTACAATGGAATGGAACAATAAGAAATTAAAACCTTACAAAGGCTTAAAATACCAACTATGTTCTTACCATAACTGAACCAAATAAAAATGACCAAAGTCTAATATTGTACCAAAAACAACCAACCAAGTCATCAAAGTACAAAATATGAAAAACTAAATTCATCAGAATAGTACATTAAATTTAAACATTAAAACAAACTAAAGATCAACCAACATCATCCAAACTTGTTGTACTACTTTCATTAGCGCTTTCCTGTAAAATGTTAAACAAATATATTTCAAAAATCAAGCAACATGAGCCTCCTACCTCTTGACTGCTTTTAGTTGGAGCATGATTTTGACTGTTTGAGTTCATCTCCCTTGAAAAATAAAAACCGTTATGATATCAGACTCAACAACTCTGTCTAAACAGATTAACATACCATGTTAACCTATATGTTCATTTGAACAGAAAATCAACTAATATATGCATTTGAATATCATAAATCTAATTCATCAGTACAAATAAGTTCAAATCAACTCAAATCCACCAGAAATCAGAATTCAGTTCAGCATAATAAAAAATCAATTCATAAATCAGATTCACAATTAACAGATAAATAGAATCAGAACAGGTGTGTCGAACAGGTATACTTACAGCATTAAATAGGGGTGTTCGTTTGGATGGATCGGTTTGATCCGATGCAATCAAGTAGATCCAAATTGATTTCGGTTTTCAAAACATGAATCCGAATTGTCAAAACTAAATTCAAATCCGATCCGATTCGATCTAATTACAATTCGGTTGGATCGGTTTTTATAATTCGGTTTTCAAAAACCGAAAGATTTTAAAATGACATATAATTATAATATTACCCAACTTTACACAAGAAGCAAAAACAAATAATTTAGTTGTGATTTGAAATTTATAAAAAACTAATAAGAAGATATATTATAGTCAAATATTTTATAGATACAAAAATTTCGAGACAAAATGCATATTAATGTTTTTTTATCGGGTGAAACGTTTTGAACCTATTTGAAAAAAATAAATTACAAAATTAATAGATAATTATAGATATATATTATAAATAGATAAATAATAAATATTTATTTGGTTTTTTTGGACTACTCGGTTCTTATTTTATAAACCAAAACCAATCCAAAATTCAAAATAATAATTCGGTTTTGTTGAAAACCAATCCAAAAATCCGAATCTCCGAACCAAATAGTCCAATCCAGATTGTCCAATTGGATAGTTCGGTTTTATCCGAATAGTAAACAACCCTAGCATTAAATCTTACCGAAGTAATCTAAAAACTTTGACAGAACTAATCAGAATTTTAGTTAAAAAACTAATCTAAAAACTTAGATAGAACTTGAGTCTAAAATTAAATCAGAATCAACATTAAATCTTACATGGATTCGGAACTTATTCTTACCTAGATTTAGATTGTGTCAAACAAGTGTGCTTCGAGCCTTCAAATTCGAGTCTGCGATTACTGATTCTCCAAACGGTGGTGAGGAAAAAGAACGAGGCAAGGACCGACTAACGAGGTTGTGTAGGGTGAAAAACAGGTGAAACAAGGTAACTGGATTCGAGTCTTCGATGAAACGAAACTAACTTCAGCTTCAAGTCTTTGATGTCAGCTGGAAGAGATTAGAGAAGGGAAATATGAAATATCGATAGTGGTAACGTGATTTTAAGGTTAGAGTATCTGAAGGGCTTAAATGTGTGTGTCTATATATATATATATATATATATATATATATATATATATATATATATATATATATATATATATATATATATATATATATATATATATATATATATATATATATATATATATAATTCATTAAAACGGTGATTTAAACTTACTATTTTCTTGGTTACAGGGATAGTGTGAATGGTACAACACCTCAACCCGTCACAAACGTTATTCAAATATAAGTTCTCATACGATAATCTTACATAAATGATTTTCTATAATCTGTGACGATATCCACCACATAAATTCATAAAATAGTGTCATGGTGCTATTGGGATCAATGATAAAGGAAACGTTAAACCCACCACCATAATCTTTTTTTTTTAAACGGTGGAATAATATTAAAAAACAGAGTCACTACCCAACAAGCAGGGGGAAAAGACAAAGAAGGAAATTACAAATATTGAAGGAGAACAACACCAACTGGATCAATTACAATCACCAAATCTACCCTTAAATTTCATCCGATTGAAAACCATAGAGATGATTAGCTCCACCTTTTTAGAATTATCGATGTGCACCTTATTGAAGATCAAATCGTTCCTATCTTTTAGATACTCCACAAGCAGTCCTAAACAATAAAGAGAAGAATTTTTCTTTTCTTGTGGCATTGTCCCCAATGCATCGCAAAGCTTAAGATGTCTTAAACCAAGTCGAATGTAGGGGGAGATACCACACCAGTTGAACATCCACCCAAGAATTTGTTGAGAAAAAGAACATTGGACAAGAGTGTGATCTGCAGACTCCGATGCAGCTGTACATATTTGACAGGAGGAGGAGGAAACATGAATGCTTCTCCTCTAAAGGGCTAAGGAAGTGGGGATGCAACCCAAACACGCACGCCATATGAAACCAATAATTTTGATAGGGACAGTTTTAATCTAGACAGTCGGCTTGGTATTGGGATGAGTCCTCTTAGAGTCAATAAGGGTTCTAAAATCTCAGACATATAACTCCCCATCAACCGAGAGTTTGAAGACCCACAAGTCTTCATTGGTAAGCCAATATCACATGTAACTGGATATATTTTGATTCATTCCATCAATCAGTAAGGTATAACTATCGGGATTAACGACGATGAAAAATTCAAGCCACAACAATAATATGTAAAAGGTCAAGCCATCATGAATACTAACAAATGAACTCTTATGAAGCCTCCATGAGTTTCTATAAAAAATTAAGTCAATGAAAAAATCGATAAAGGTCTTCGAGTAAGATTTCACCACTAGGATTCGTAAAGACATGGCCATGAGAATTAATGATAATGGACCGCTCTAAGCCATAAGGACTTGACAATCCGTAAATGCATAAATACTTAGATAAAAGTGTTTAAGAGTCAAGTTTCATTCATCAATCTCATCATGTTTATTACAATGGAGAGTTGCCTCTATTAATAGTAGGAGGAAAAATTACTAATCCTAAAAAAACTAATTAAAATTTTATTATTTGATACAAGGAGTAAATCATATAAAATTTAACTAAATATTTCCTAAATATGAGAGTTTCAGTTTTCCCCACTATTCCCAAACAGGGAAGTCCTAACCTATACCTAAAAGATTTATTGATATTTTATTACAAAAAAATTATAACTAGAAATAAAAAACTTATAACAGTGATAAATGTATTTTTTCCAACTTGTCATGTACATTTAAATCCTCATTGCCGATCCCGAAACTAACCGAAACTAGTTAGTTATCTCAATTGCATTGTAATACAAAATGATGCAGAATAACCATGTAGGGGGGAAATTGAAATAAACATTAAAAAGTCAAAACTTGCAAAGAACAACTTTTATTCTTTAGAGTATTAAAATATGATTATTAGGCTTTTCTCAAACTCATAAACTCTCATCTCTTCTCCTCTCCATACGTTTGAATCAAAATTGGTTGACTCATTGTCATGATCGAGGTAAAGCTTGAGCCATTGATTTCGTTGCCTCTTCTATTTGATCACTTAGTTTAACCTCTCTATTTCGATATCGTGCACGTCTCATGTCTCACCCTCGTCGTCTTGATGCATGAGATCTTGATGGAATGTTTTATCACAAGATCACCCTAGTCCGACCCAGTTCAGCTATAGATTATGATACAAAGTCATGTGATATAAAGACTTGCGGTATTTATAAGAAGTTAACCTTGACGAGACTAACAAAAATTAAGAAAAAAAACGTAACTAATAAAAGTAAAATCATCCGATAAAATATGATTAAACTATTAAACCGTAAATGTGAACCCAAAATAGCAGCTCCTTCCTACTAGGCCTGACAATTAAACAGGTTTTGACCTTGCTCCGATCCATACCCTTAAGAATTATATGGGTTTAGAGTATAGTTTTTGATTCGTTTACCCGTTAACGACTCGTACCCTCTAACCCTTTTATTAAAAGGGTCGGGTATAGATCATTATCGATCCGATCTGTTTTATAACTCGTCCCATATAAATTTTAGAAATATATGTTTATATTTTATCATGTCTAAAGTTTAATTTTAATTATAATCAAAAGTCTAAAGGGAAAAAAACAAAGATCAAACTATTTTTACATAAGATTCAAGGAGTTAACTTCTAGATGGTTTATTAACTAGAATTATGATATCATTTCATTAATATTTTATCAAACAGTAACAAATTTTATTTATATATCAATAAAATTATTATCAAATGGAAGAAAGTTTGCAATTGTTATTCTCTAACATAAAATTCGACATTCAAAAATCAATCAGAATTTGCTACAATAGTGAATTTAATTCAAATTGAAAGTCCTCGAGTATGTAATGCATTTTCTAAATAAACATTTTTATTTGATTATTCAAAAACCCTATAGGTTAAGGGACGAGTTTTGATATCTGTTTCGGTGGATAAAGATATGAATTTGATTATTCAAAACCTTACGGATTATAGAGCGGGCTTGGATTGGATTTTGACATTTGTTAAACGGGTTTAGATCAATATCGATTCGCTTCAAACCCGTCTCATTGCCAGGTCTAGTGTCGGCTCAAAAAGTCCTCAAAATCGCAGCCTAATATTTAATTCAAAATTGGCCTAAAATCTTCAAAATCGTGCCCCATTGTTCAATTCAGAATTGATCTGTTCCCTGCCTCATCTAATTGTCCGTATGCTCAACTCACGATCAAATTTGCATATTAACAAAATCAAATTGGATAAATGCTTAGCATAAACGGAAACAAATTCTCATTCCAATGTGATGCCATTATTGCTCCCTTTTTTCATATTTGTCGCAACACATCTTCTTTATCTAATGAGATCTTAATGATTAGGATGTCTAACTAATACATTCCCACCTACCCTTTCCTTTTCTAAAACTAATTCTTTTTTGGTATTTTAATTAATTTAGTGAATTTAAAATACATGTCATTTTTTGTTGACCCCTTTTAATCGTAGTTTTGATACATTCATGAAATCTTTCAAATTTATAAGATCTAAAAATTCATGATCACGGACATTTAAACTAAACAAAAAATTCTTATATAAAAATATTCTTATATAATATCTAAATTCGTTTTTTGATTTTTTGTAGAGGAAAGATACTTCATTTCATTAGGCTGATCTATGTGAGAGAAATAATGTGGATAAGTATGCTTAATGAATCGAAAATAAGTTTACCAAATTCGTAATTAGCCAAGAATATTTGTTGTCAATATATATAATATCATTCCACTCTCAAGTCTTAACCTTCCATTTCCAAGGGTATGAATTAGATTTTTTTATATAATATAAGATTGAATTAAAAATATTTAAATCACACTAGATTAAATATCAATTCCATCACAATGCACAACTAGATTCCATATGTCTACTTAATACTAATATATTAAAATTTAAAACTCAATAAATTAATAATGGGTTGATTTAATTATGTTTTACTTTTGAATTGATGGATGAATAAGATAAAAACTTTCTAGTTCAGCGGTATCCGGTGTTGCCCTTCTTCTTTGAGTTTGAAGGTTTAAGACTCGGTTATATATATATATATATATATATATATATATATATAAACTCAAATGTTATTTTTACAGGAAGTATATAATTATTGTAATAAAATAGTTTGTAGATCCTATTTAATATGTTATTATTTGTAAAAATAAATACCATAAACAAGCAATCTAGATACTAATTATTTTTTACAAAACTAGCTGTTCACTTAAAGCTTAATTTTTTTTATTAAAGTTCTAAACATATTTGACAAAAATAATTATAAACTTCTAATATATGAAATTATATAAAAATTAAAATTTAAAAGCTTTTAGTAGCTAAAAGCTTCCAAAATCTATTTAAACATACCTCTTGGAACATAAATGTTTTATTTAAAATAATAATCTTAAGGTGATACTACCTTACAATTTATTTTTAATTCCAAATTATTTTAAAACTAAAAATAAAATAGCCTTAAACTTTCAAAAGTTGGTTGTCGACATACCTAAATAGATAATTGATCCCATATATTTGCGGTAGATCTTCCTATTTCTCCACTAATCTCTCTCTCTCTCTCTCTCTCTCTCTCTCTCTTTCTCTCTCTCTCTCTCTCTCTCTCAAATTGTTATCTCTGTGTAAGAGTGAGATTAGAGCCTCGAAGCAGCAAGCATGGAAAGATCATGGGATGAAGAACTCCCAGATTGTCGCTATGAACAGAAGCAACCAAGTTTGATCAAACCCAATAGCCCAGCCCCAAATCACATTCTTTATCTCTCCAATATCGATGATCAAAAGTTCCTTAGATTCTCAATTAAATATATTTATCTTTTTCAAAACTCTGTAGCTGTCGATCTCCTCAAATCTTCTCTCTCTAAGGTTCTTGTAGACTACTATCCATTGGCGGGCAGACTGAAACCTCTACACCTTGCTCATGAAGAACGTGACGACGACGATGAGAAGCTGCAGGTTGAGTGTAATGGCGAAGGTGCTGTTTTTGCAGAAGCATACATGGATATCACTGCTCAGCACTTCCTTCAGCTTTCCCACAAACCAAATAAGTCTTGGAGGAAACTGCTTTTTCGGGTTGATGCTCGCACTTTTGTAGAAACTCCTCCTCTTGTTGTTCAAGTAAGTTCTTTTTGCCACCTGATCGATCGAGCCTATAATTTCTCTATTTAATTTACTACTTTTCGTTAATATTAATTTTTGAACATCAAGGTGCCTCTCGTTCAATTCTTGAAAACAATATTTTTAACCAATTGCTAAGTTTCAAAAAGCACTGCCAATCACGCTTAAATTTGTCTAAAAGAGTTGGAAATTGTGATTTAATTCCATCTGATTTCTGTGCGCTTTTATATATATATATATATATATATATATATATATATATATATATATATATATATATATATATATATATATATATATATATATATATATATATATAAAAGTGAATATATCCTTAAGCGTATATAAGTTTAGGTACCAAAACACACTATAATACGTCATTTTGTTTGATATATTCATTATAATGTTCTTAAACTTCAACCCTAACTTTATTTACTTTCAAGGTTTTCGAAATTTCACTATTATCATTCTCTCACATCACATCTTTTTACCGACCACCTACTAGGCTATATATATTGTAGTTGAAAATGAAAATTATGTAAGAGGAAGATAGATGTGTAATTTATAAAAATCATGGAAGTAAATCAAGTTAGACGTTCAATTAGAAGAACAATGGACAATTATAATGTATT